GCCGCCGCCGCTGTCCCGGCGGGAGCCCTCGCCGGGGCTCGGGAGTGTAGGGAGCGGGGTGAGCCGAGCAGGACCCTGGGCGAGGCTGCTGGCGGCGATCAGGGCGCGCGGGTGTCGGGGGGCCAGGTCCAGGGCCGGACGCAGCCAGCCATTCAGGAAGGCAGTGCTGGAGAGCGGGAGGCAGCCGGCGAGGAAGATCACACACTTTGCTCTTTTTGTTGTGCCGGTGGCGCCGGGCTCTCGCTGCCTTCTTCTTTCGGGAGGTGACGGAAGGGGGAGAAAAATACGGGATAATTCACGCCGGCGACGAATTCACAGCGAAACAGAAAAAAAAAATCAGAAGAAAATAATTGAAAAAAAAGGAAAAAGAAAAAGCGAGGGAGACATCCAAAGTAGGTCGAATAAATAATCCTCTTCCTCTTTCTTGCTCCTTCTTCTGCTTCTTCTGCTATAACACACAGAGCTAGTTAAAAAACCCTGGAGATCGCCCAAAAATGTTCTTTTTTTAGTATTTTAAATAAGTGCTCTTCAGCCGGGAACCAACACCCTCCCTCCAAAAAAATCATATATGTATAAAATAACGATAAGAAGAATACGAAGGGGGTGCCTCCTCCTCCTCGTTTTTTTTTTTTTAAAGTTTAGCCCTCTCTCTTTGCAGGAATGGAGTAAAGGAGACAAGAAGGAGGGAGAGAAAGGAAAGAAGGAGAAGGAGGAGAAGGGGAAACAACTAGTAGAATATGTAAGAAAAGAGAAGGGGAGAGAGAGTAGAGGGCGAGAGAAGAGAGGGTGAGAGGGTGAGAGAGCGGATAGGAGGGGGGAGAAAGAGAGGAGAGAGAGGGAGAGAGAGAGAGAGAGAGAGAGAGAGAGAGAGAGAGAGAGAGAGACCCAAAAATTGAATGCGTTTAAACGAGAGGACTCGCAGAGCAATGTTTCCGAAAGGGGGATCTGCGCGAATGTCTGTATATAGTGAACTTTGACACTACTATTGAAACTGACACGTTTCTATGGAGATCGCTGCCTTATATGGAGCTCGTGTCAAGGAGCCAAGAGAAGGGCTGCTGGCAACTGATAATCAAAGGCGACTGACTGGTCAGAGCCCCGAATCGGGGGGGAGAGAAAATGGGAGGCTAAGGTTAGCCAAGCCTCCTGCACGCCATTGGTTGGACAGCCCCTCCCCCCCCTCCTCTTTTCCTTTCTTTCTTTTTTTTTTATCCCCTCCCTCTTAGCTACCTACAGTCTGGGAAGGCGAGGGGAGGAGGAGAGAAAGTGAGGGAGGGGGGTGTGCTTCTGACAAGCGCAATTTACATTGAGATCGCCCTGCGCTGCTATTTACTCTGAGACCTGATTAGTATGGGTCGTCTATGGTCACACACACACACACACACACACACACACACACACACGAGGGGGGAAGGGATGGAGAGGGGAGAATGCGATGGTTAAAAAACGAGGGCGAAAAAGAAATTATTTTTGTTTCATCTGAAAAGTTTTGAAATTAGATTTATGAGTGTAAAGATAGTGCCATTGAAAATATTAGGAAAATTTTTTTTAATGAGAATGAAACCCATCCTTTTAATGATTTGTGAAATGTTCTGAGTTTGGATGATTTTTCTTGTTTCTCACAAAAGCTTAATTTCCTCAGGATTCTGCTCATTTTATATCCTTTTAAGAAAAAAAAGATAGGGTCTCCCTACATTTTGATCCAAAATGCATCTTAGTTTTTTAGGTTTAATGATGACAAAGCTACTCGCGAAATTTGCAGCTGTTGCCACACACTTAAAGCTAATCCACGGTTTCCTATGCATCCTAAAGATCATTCTAAAATAAACTTTTAAATCAATCGGGTTTTTCTACTTTATTATATAGAGAGGGAGAGATGTAAATTTCTAGGTGGTTAGGAACTCCAAACAATGCTTTCATCATGATCAATAAAA